TAATAATTCTGCACTCCCTGTAAAGTTAGCCTTGCAGATCTTTATTTATTTTAGCACCACTGGCAAGAGTTTCTAAATTAATCTTACTGACACCATCCATTAGTATGACACTGCAGGCGTGTTTTTGATTTTGATATTCTGTAACAGAGGTGCACAAAGCACTTTGTGAATAGACAAACAGACTGGACACACAGTAAACACCTGTCAGCCAGTTTGAGATACTGAACAAGGACCATGAGGCACTGTCTGCCTTAACAAGGACAATCAACATAGTTTTTTACACATTCAACAAATGTATCAACCTACATTCGTCTCAGCGAAACCAGACAGACAGGTGTGTGACTCACACAAAGCAATGAAGGAAGTTTATTTTCTCATGTGGTGCTGTAGTCTGTATGTGAAGGTGTGCTCTTGTATTGTTCCAGGGATTTCTTGATCCATGTTTGAGGTAGTGAGTCATAGGTTTTCTTGTAGTGAATCCAGACTACAGTTTGTCAGTTTGATCTATCTACTAGTAGCAGGTGTTCTGCCCCTCTGATGTTTCTGTCAATTCCTTTCTGTGCCCGTTTCATGTATTGAGCCATGTGCCTGTTATTCATAGTCACTATGTTGCTTGACAAGGGCTTCCATACTAAGGCAGGTTATTGGCCAGTAGATGGCTGGTAGTTGGATGGGACCAATGCCTTCTGGCGATCCTTGGGGACCAGGACTGTCCGGCATTTGGTTAGCCACTCTGGATGTGTCTTCTCCCTTACCAGCAGGTTCATTTGTGCCACCAGACACTGGTGCCTCTTTAGCTTGTAAGTGCGAATCATGTCAGGGAATGGTTCTGTCCAACTCTTCATACAATATTGGCGACTCTGTCTTGGATGTCTGCCACTGCGATGGTTATTGGATACTATTCAGAGAGTTTGCTCTAGTCTGCTCTTAGATCTACTAGCCACTGAGCAGTGTCGCTATTAGTGGTGTGCGGATCGATGTTGAAATATCAATTCTTCCGATACCAGTAATTTATGTTCTAGAATCGATTCTCATATTAAAATATTGATATTTTAGTACTTTGGGAAAAATTTGTAGTTTTTTATTAACAGGAACACAGTGGAAAGAAACTGTATCATTCGGATCGTCTAAATTGGAAGGAACTACTTCCTGGCCAGGGGCCTTTCATAGTCATATGCAAAATATGGCTGTATAAATGTGTCGCAGCCCCTGGCCAGTGTTGCCAACTCCTCAGTAAGGAAAATCACTATTGGCTATCCTAAAAATCTCTAGAAGTCGCTATAGCATAATCGCCTAATTTGCATAATCCGTCATGCTAATGCAATTGTAACCCACGTTGTAGGAGAGAAAAAAAGAAGAGACATAAAGTGAGTAAAAAAACGTCCTAAATGCATTTAGAATTTATTTAGAACTACAAATTAAATTTCTTTTAGCGATTATTGTTTTTTTTAATGTCCCAATTCTAACCCTGCTCCTTTATCTGGGCTTGGACCGGCAAAAGTGACCCGAAATAGGCACTCTGGTGGAGTTACTTTGTGTGTGTGTGTGTGTGTGTGTGTATTAGAGATGGACCGATCCGATATTACGTATCGGTATCGGTCCGATACTGACCTAAATTACTGGATCGGATATCGGAGAAAAATAAAAAATGTAATCCGATCCATTAAATATCACGAAAGCACCTCACAAAACTTGCAACACGCCATAACTCACCTCAGAACGTTAGCACGTCGGAGCAGTATGCATCACGTGATAGAGCGGCTGTGGCATGCGGGGTCTGGATAGCATTTGGAGCTTCGCTAGCAACCCAGCATTTCATCTCCGACAAAGTTATCCCGAGAGAGTGCGTGTGTGTGTTTAAGTAGTTTTAAACCTTGTGAGCCACAAACCAACATAACAGTAAAAGAAGAATTGATTGCGTTACAGTCATTGCGGGAGCAGAGGTTTCACTCATGCACGATCATTTGCAGTTTGGACGCATAGGTGGGAACATTTCCTGCCCTGATAGCAGCTGGGGGAGGACTATCCTCTGCCCGTGAGCGCTTTGGCACGGGCGAGGTGCCCACGGCAGCACCCGCTGCTTGTTGAGAAGAGCAATACATACTTTCACGTCAAAAGTTGTCATAAATAAGTCTCCAATAACACCAGAAAAAGTCACCAGATTTGATTTCATTTTGTAATTTTGCAAACAGGTTTTAATCAGGTTCGTACAGTTTTTGGGTTCGGGGACCTTAGTTTTACTGCAACTTAGTATAGTATGGTACTGTAACATTTAGCTGACTTTACTAATGAACTGAATGAAACAAAACATGTAATAATCACAACCTACAGTTTTGAGATTTTCTTTTTTTTATTATTTTCTTGTAATATTACATTTTTGCTTCATTTCTATTTTTTCCTAAAATTATTATAAATAACAGCACTAGTAATATACAACATGATTTAAAATAAATAGTTTAATATGTGATATCGCAAATGCAAACTCATGTGTTAATTATGTCTCAAAAGCCTTCAATTAAAGGTGTGATTATATAGTGTGAGTGTTGCTGGGCCCTGAGTTAATATGTTACCAAACAACAAAACACAAATATATTCTCCTTCCCCAGATCATCTGAGGTGTTCAACATGGGGCCTCACTCTTTTCCAGCAATAAGAAAACTAAAAAAACAAACCAATTAATGGCCATTTAATGATCTGAATAAAGTGAGATTATACCCACAGAGTCCAATTAACATGAAAAAAGGAAAACAGACAAGGGAATACATTCTGTGTCTTTACAGGAACACACCAGAAGTTCACTTCATCCACTTTATGATGTTAGTTACACAGATATCTAAAGAAATAACTATCAGATGAGTACCACAACTTTGGAACTTTTATAGCACTGGTAATATGTATAATAATACATAATACATAATAATTCACATAAACTTACCACAAAACATAAACCATGTTTGGCTCATTGTTTCTTTTCTGCAACAATGGTTCTTGGCAATAAATTTTATACAACTGGAAAGCCCATTTATTTGCTTTTTACCAATGAACAATAAAATATGAAATTTTTCATCAAACAAATTGAATGACAAATAATGATTAAAAAAAAAACCTGCATGACATCCTAAGAAAATATCACAAACTAATAAAATAAAGCAGATATGTTTCTGGATCCAGGAGCTAAATTCATGCATATTATGAGAGAAATTTTCAGCTTTGGCACCCCTGTTTGGTTTTCTGTTTGTAAACACCAGTCAGCCAATTTGAGGTACTGAACGAAGACCATGAAGCACTGTCTGCCTCAACAAGGACAATCATCAACACATTGAAGTTTATCAAGTGTATGATCTACATTTCTCTCAAAGAAACCAGACAGACAGGTTTGTGACTCAGAAAAAGCAATCAAGGAAGTTGGTTTCTCATTTGATGCTGTAGTCTGTGTGTCAAGGTGTGCTGCAAAATGATTATGCTCTCCTGACAAGAGGCTTTACAGACGGCAACAACGGCAAAAGGTAATCAACTTAATGTAGAATTTCCATTACTCAGTGTCTTTTATATTGTATTATTATTCCTCATATCTTCAGACCAATTTTAAAAAAGTATCCTAGAATGTTTACCGACATATCTAATATCTAGCTATTTTGCATTTACTGCTATTCAATAAGCAGTATTGAATAGCAGTATGCTATTCAATACTGCTAAAAACAAACAAATAATTAACTTTGCAAGCAAACAGCAATAAATTAAATATTTTGAATGTTTGCTATCTGTTATCGTATGACAGCTGAGACAAGCTTACAACTCCTGCTACCCCGAATAGGGTATGTTGAGGAAGACGGATGGATTAATGGATGGATGACTGGAGATAATACACTTTTCAATTCAGGAACAAACATCTATAACATCAATAACAGATCTGAGACAGTCTCAGAGGTACACATGCGCATTAACTTATTAGTTTCCTTTTAAAATAAATTATAAGACAAAAATCTTATTAGTAAGGTTGAACTCTTGGGGTATAATGCTGCTAAGAACTGTGAAACATTTATCGGGTTCATGATCCAGAACAACTAATAAACATGGGCACATTTCAGCAAACCAAACGCCATCTTCACCTAAACTTAGACTAATCTCATTGTTACGTTTTTATGTCTGTGTCATTTCTCTAACTTAACGAAATTCTACTCACACTGTGCTGCTAAAGTCAAAAGTGAGTGTTTAAATTCTTTACCACTGCTGTACATATAAACTTTATTTTAATGCACTTAGTATGTATTGCACAACACAGTGTCTTTGTTTCAAAGTCTGACATAATTAGGGATGGGTATCGAAACCCGGTTCTTGCTGAGAACCGGTTCCCACTATTTCAATTCCTTGAAATTGTTTGCCATTTTTGCAAATGATTCCCTTATCGATTCCAGTTACCGCGAATGATGTCACCACGTTGCGGAGCGTCATTTACCTGTCAGGAAACACGGCGCCTAAGCAGCTCAAACGCTCAAATGTTTTGTTATACTTTATGAGAACAGGGCAACTTGCAATACTTGCGAAGTAGATATTTCATTTAAGGGAGGAAACACTATGAATATGCAAAAGCATTTGCTCGCGATGACCTTAAATGAATGTCGTGTTTTTAACCCTCTCAGGCTCAAATTAAGTTTTTTGTTGCTAATGCACAACCAAGTCCTGCAGTGGTACTTCTGAGTAAAACAAACTCATAAAATATGTATGTGGGGTAATCAGGTTGTTAGTTTTTAATTGTTGCAAATCGGCAACGCCTGCCTCGAGGCGGTTAATTCCGCCCCGGACTCGTGAATCTCAACCCAGCAGCAGCGGTGACGTTGCACGTCCTCTCCCATTAATGCGGCAGGTAAATAATCAACTAACAGTGCATATTATGTTAGCGCAATCTGCCTTATTACAAAACCTGCCATTGCTGTGTGTTGCATTTAGGTGACCATGATGAGAGAGAGCCTCTCTCATCATGGTCAGAGTCTGGCTCAGATGCTGGCAGTTCTCGCTGCAGTCTACAGGTAGTGTTTCCTTTCAGGCCAGGATAGACGAATGTCACCGAGCAGTGACTAAGTTTGAGGTAAAAGGCTTGCACTGTTAGGAGTTGGGTTCTGGTTATGTGGTGTTTTTGTCTGTATGTGTTTTTTGGTGCCTCCCTTTTTGTATAGGTAGGCGGGGCAGTGAGTCACTGAACCTGGAACACCTGTTAATCATCAGATGCAGTAGCGGTTTTTGATACGGGCAACACAGGCGGCTGCCTCCCAGGCAACACAGGCGGTTGCCTCCCAGTCAACACACATATGTGGGGCCCAAATAGGGAGCAGCAGGGCTAATATTTGGGGCCCACTTGGGAAACCCAACTAGAGTCCAGCTAATTTTGTCCTCAGTTTCCATGGTGGCCCCAAATGTGTTTTCGTAGATGGGTTTATGCTGGGTCCGAGATAAGCCCCAAATCAGGCCCAGCCAACAAATGAGTATGGGGCCCAGATGGGTAGAAGCGGGTCTGATGGTTGGGGCCCACTTGGGCTACCCACCTGGCACCCAGCTACTTTTGTCCTCAGTTTCCATGATGTCCCCAAATGTGTTTTCCCAGATGGGTTAATGATGGGTCCGAAATCAGCCCCAGACAACAAATGAGTATGGGGCCCAGATGGATAGAAGCAGGTCTGATACTTGGGGCCCACTTGAGTTACCAACCTGGGACCCAGCTATTTTTGTCTTCAGTTTCCATGGTGGCCCCAAGTGTGTTTGTCCAGATGGAATTTTGGATAATGAAAGTAAGCTATGATTTAAATCACCTGTACAACAAAGCCAGTTTATCTTTTTTTCCCCTACAGTTTATAGGAAAAACAAATGCAGCAAACCACAGCTTCTCACTCATTCACCAATCCATTGGTCCTGACAGAAATAAAATAAAATAAAAAATTAGTGCATTTTTACAAACAAAATCAGATTTGCGATAGTACTGGAGTTGTTTTGGAGGTTGTGCTGTTCAAGTTGTTTGACCTCCTACATTGAACTCTTTGAAGACCATGAGTATTCATGGAAACAGAAAAGCTATTTACAAAAGGATTTACCAAGTAGGCACTCAAAAATACATACATGAGGTGATCAGGGGAAGTGGAGACACATGAGGACACAGCTGACTAGAATGAAACATAATGACATTAAAGGGGAGAGTAAGACTAAACACGTAGTACAAAGAAACACAAGACCTTTCAAAGTAAAATAGGAGCCATGGGGACACGAGCCAACAGGGAATACTTAACACAGGGATGACTACATAAATGGATCTACTAAACAAGGACTAAAGAAACCTAGAAGCTAATACCAAAGAAAGAAACAATGAATATCAAAATACAAGGAAAACTCAGAAAACTGGGTCACACGACCCAATACCGTGACACAACTGTGATAAGAAAATTAAAACATCAGTTACTATTTTCTTATCTAAGAACAGGAAAGATTATTGGCACTCGAAAATTCTCATACTGTATATAGACCATCAGTTTTTTGTTTTTTTGTTTTTTTGCTTAGTATTACAAGTTGTTGACTTTGACAATGTTTGAAGTTAAACATTTTTAAAACTCTGTTTGCATGCTAACAAATAAACATTGACAGGCTGGTATGATCCAAATACATTTAAACAAGTTGAGCAGCACATTATCTGGAAGGCAGAAAACCTTTTGCCTTCCTGTTGGCTCCCATTTACAGAAGGAATGCCAGCAGCATGACACCGTGAATAATGACTGATTTTATTAAAAGGACTTGTGTTCTTTTCTCTTTAGTTAGGATGACATTACGAAAGGTCTCGTTATGCATCGTTATTCTCCTAGTCATATGGAACTGTCTTAAGTATGAGGGACACAGAGAGTTTCTAAACGGCTTCTTTGAGGTAAGAATAAAAATGAATGAATGTATAATGATGAAAAAATACAGTGAAACAAATCATTTTCCTCCTGGATTTTCTTCCAGGAGTTAATGAGTGCAGAAGAATCCAGCATTCATCTAAGACGAAAAAGAGAAAGTGAGTAAAATTTTAGCAGTGTTACTACAACGTAACACATGTTTGTTGACTAATAATATAATTATATAATAATTGTATTTATTAAAAAAAACATGCTTTGCAAAGTGCTTTGAAAAACTAGATGAGGGAGGATATTCAATGAACAAGCAGAACTGAATAGCAATAACAGTATCTGACCACGTCCAGATTATCAGTGTTATCATTGCTTTATGGTTTGTTTGGGTTTTTCTTTTTTTTTCTTTTTTTTACCTTTAGCTTCATCAAATTCCACTGAGTATGAGTTCCAAGCTGTTATAAGCGTCTCAAATCTGGAACAATTCCAGTCGATACTGAACACTCTCAGTTTTCCTTTATTGATCAACGCCACTGGTGAGATTACAAGCATTAATACAACAACAGGTAAAACATCCATTTATGTTGCATCTCCATTGCTTGCCAATCTTATTCACTCAAAGTGTCACATTGAACCATTATGTTGTGTTCTTCTCAGTGTGTTCACCAAACATAACTGCAAACATAACTGGATACCAGTGCACATGTGAGGAGAGCTTTGCTTGGTCATATAACAAATGCATTGACTATGAGGCCTGTGATGCCATCGTTGGTGATACGTGTGGATGCATTAATGGACTTCCAGCAGATGGGCAATATTGCCAGTTAAAAACCAGCAACCCAGGTAGGACTAAGCAAACATGTATCACATGTGATAGGTAAGTAAGTATGTAATGTAAATGTAAGTACATTTATCCAGCATATGTAGTTAGACTGAGGTTTCTACGTCTGTGTTCTGTGAAAGGATTTAATAATGTATTTTTTTTTAAAGTGTAAAGGATGTTGATTTGAATTCTATCCTAAAGCCATAACTTTGTATAAAAATGGTAAATGGCCTGTATTTATATAGCGCTTTACTAGTCCCTAAGGACCCCAAAGCGCTTTACATATCCAGTCATCCACCCATTCACACACACACATTCACACACTGGTGATAGCAAGCTACATTGTAGCCACAGCCACCCTGGGGCGCACTGACAGAGGCGAGGCTGCCGGACACTGGCGCCACCGGGCCCTCTGACCATTTGTATGAAATTTGTTTCAAAGGTTCAGTTGCTGTAGTCGCAATTTTCTTGTTTACAAGAGATATTTAAAATTTATGAAATGTTTGAGAAATGTTTTCTCAGTGTCAACACTAGCTACACCAACAGCTATATCACTAAATGATATATCACATGTAATTTAATATACATGTGATATATGTATTTCACAAGTATATAATATATAAAGTTGCAACAGAAGTAGAAACATCTTAAATAAATGGGGTGCTTGTTTTTTGTCTCCTCTACAGTGCCAGTGGAGTATGATATAGACTTTAACTTGCTCTTGCCAGTATCCAGCCTGCCCCCAAATTTCATTGACCTGTTCAGAAACTATGTGGGAAATTTGTCATTCCCCAAAACCATCACTCAGTCTTTAATAATAGAAGACTTGAACTTCACCACATGTAAGAATTTTGTACTCGGACAGATTTAAATGTGTTCATACTCTGGTGCATGATTTATGAGGCGTGTTTTGTCATTGTTTTGAATGACTTTAACAGGGTGCTATCCAAACTCCACCGGAGGAATGCAGTGTCAGTGTGAGGACCACTTTGGTTGGTCATGTGAAAAGTGTGGCCTATACGGTGCATGCAGTAATGTCACCTCACAAGCCTGTGGATGCATCAAAGGGCTTCCTCCTGATGGAGAGTTCTGTGAACCAAGCGCAAGTAAGAAACTTGCAGCTGAAGAAATAGAAGCATTTTAGAAGCATATTAAAGAAACATTAACAGATCTAACATTGCGTTCAAAATCCTTACTGACATTGCTATGACATAACCAAAAGTTATGGACTTCTTCTGAGTGGGGAGTTCTGGCAACCAATCACAAGTAAGAACTGCAATTGTCTAGCTGTAGGATGAACAGACTACTGCCTTTATCAAATAGATGAATGAACTTTTCAACTGTCTGATTACCTAACATTGTGTTATGAGAGTGATTAGACATTAGACATGAATTGCTCTGTGGAAACACACTGCAATTAATTCTATACTCACTGTATTAAAGAAACATTAACACATCTAACACTGCATTCATTATCCTTGCTGACATTTCTATGACATAACCAAAGTCATGGTGTTTAGTTTCTGGCTTGAAATTTAAATAATTAAACATGTAATGTTTTTCCACAGGCGTCGCTCCTTGCCCAACACCACCTCCTGGTATGACAAACATCTTTGTTATTCATTTGTGGAAGCACAGTTCAATTCATTCTATACACACTGTATTAAATTATCTGATTGTTTGTGTTCAAAGACACAAATGATCTTGTTATGTTTCATTTGTATTTTGGGTGTGTTATTAATTATCAATATGTAAGAAATTATTTTTACAATGGAAAGTGTATACAATATTTTATTTAGAGAGAAAAACATGGAGGCCATCAATTTGGCAACAAAGAAAACACTTTCAAAAGATATGGCTACTGTTGTGCTTTAGCTCAGCCGCTGCTAATTTTCTAAAACTTACCAAGTAGCTTTTTAGGCATTGACCTAAACCCATGTGTTGGTAATGGATAAACCTGGACAAGTAACATACTTTAATAAGTAATGCATTCTTAAATGATAAAGATATTTGAAAATCTGTAACATGCATGAGTCGAACTTGGGTCAGTTTTACATTTTCACGTAAATATAGTTTCCCATCATTGCAACAGTTGTATGTGATGGATTTCCCCCTTTTCTCCTCACAGAGCCAGTGGACTTTTATATAGACTTGAACTTGCTCATCCCAGATCTCAGTGTGCCCCCAGAATTTCAGTTGATTGTGCTCTAGAACTATTGTGAGAAATGTTCGTCCTTTCCCCAAAATCATCACTGGGTCTTTAACTACATAAAGACTTGAACTTCACCACATGTAAGAATCTTATGCTTTTGCACTCAACACATTTAAATGTGTTCATACTCTGGTGCTTATGATTGTGATGTGTGTTTGTGTTCGTCTTTTAAATGTGTTTATAGGGTGCTATCCAAACTCCACTGGAGGACTCACAGTGTCATGTGAAGACCAGTTTGCCTTGGTCATGTGGCAAAGTGTGAGCCATACGATGCATGCAGTAATGTCACCTCACAAACCTGTGGATGCATAAAGGGACTTCTCCTGGGGGTTCTGGACGCAAGTAGAAACTGCAGGAGAATAGAAGCTTAACTAAGAACATTCAGACACATTTTCAAAATCCACGAAGTAAATAAAAAGTAGACTCCTGAGTGGATTCTGCAAATCACGTAGAACTGATTGCTAGTAGTGAACAGACTACTGCCTTTATCAAATAATGAATGAACTTTTCAACTGTCTGATTACTAACATTGTGTTATGAGCAGTGATTAGACATTAGATATGAATTGCTCTGTGGAAACACACTGCAATTAATTCTATACTTACTGTATTAAAGAAACATTAACACATCTAACACTGCATTCATTATCCTTGCTGACATTTCTATGACATAACCAAAGTCATGGTGTTTAGTTTCTGGCTTGAAATTTAAATAATTAAACATGTAATGTTTTTCCACAGGCGTCGCTCCTTGCCCAACACCACCTCCTGGTATGACAAACATCTTTGTTATTCATTTGTGGAAGCACAGTTCAATTCATTCTATACACACTGTATTAAAGAAACATTGACAGATCTAACACTGCGTTCATTATTTGCAAATTCTTTAAATGTGACACACATTTATATATTGTTATTCTTTAAAAGAATACTGTACAGGATGTTCTAAACATCACCTCTATTGTTTCTTTGTATGCCTGAGATATAGTGTAAACTCTTAAAACATGAAAAATTGTATTTGAAGAAACACCAGACGAACTGAGCATCCCAGTCTCATGGCAGTTTGTGAAGTCATCACTACAGAATTATCTGATTGTTTGTGTTCAAAGACACAAATTATCTTGTTATGTTTCATTTGTATTGTGGGTGTGTTATTAATTATCAATATGTAAGAAATTATTTTTACAATGGAAAGTGTATACAATATTTTATTTAGAGAGAAAAACATGGAGGCCATCAATTTGGCAACAAAGAAAACACTTTCAAAAGATATGGCTACTGTTGTGCTTTAGCTCAGCCGCTGCTAATTTTCTAAAACTTACCAAGTAGCTTTTTAGGCATTGACCTAAACCCATGTGTTGGTAATGGATAAACCTGGACAAGTAACATACTTTAATAAGTAATGCATTCTTAAATGATAAAGATATTTGAAAATCTGTAACATGCATGAGTCGAACTTGGGTCAGTTTTACATTTTCACGTAAATATAGTTTCCCATCATTGCAACAGTTGTATGTGATGGATTTCCCCCTTTTCTCCTTCACAGCACCAGTGGACTTTTGATATAGACCTTGAACTGCACATCCCAGCATCTAGTGTGCCCCAGAATTTCAGTGTTGTGCTCAGAAATATTCTGAGAAATTTCTCCTTCCCCAAAATCATCACTGGGTCTTTAACACTGAAAGACTTGAACTTCACCACATGTAAGGACCTGATCTTATTTGACTTTTGCACTCCAACACATTTAATGCTGTTCATATGGTGCTGTATGACTTGTGAACTGTGTTTTGTTCTTCTTTTAAATGTCTTGAAAGGGTGCTATCCAAACTCCACTGGAGGACTCCAGTGTCAGTGTGAAGACCAGTTTGCTTGGTCATGTGGCAAGTGTGATGAGTACGGCACATGCAGTAATGTTCACCTCACAAACCTGTAATTGCATAAAGGGATTTCCTCCTGAGTGGGAATTCTGTGACACCAGTCACAAGTAAGAACTGATATCATCTAGCTGTTGGATGAACAGACTACTGCCTTTATCAAATAAATGAATGAACTTTTCAACTGTCTGATTAGCTAACATTGTGTTATGAGAGTGATTAGACATTAGATATGAATTGCTCTGTGGAAACACACTGCAATTAATTCTATACTTACTGTATTAAAGAAACATTAACACATCTAACACTGCATTCATTATCCTTGCTGACATTTCTATGACATAACCAAAGTCATGGTGTTTAGTTTCTGGCTTGAAATTTAAATAATTAAACATGTAATGTTTTTCCACAGGCGTCGCTCCTTGCCCAACACCACCTCCTGGTATGACAAACATCTTTGTTATTCATTTGTGGAAGCACAGTTCAATTCATTCTATACACACTGTATTAAAGAAACATTGACAGATCTAACACTGCGTTCATTATTTGCAAATTCTTTAAATGTGACACACATTTATATATTGTTATTCTTTAAAAGAATACTGTACAGGATGTTCTAAACATCACCTCTATTGTTTCTTTGTATGCCTGAGATATAGTGTAAACTCTTAAAACATGAAAAATTGTATTTGAAGAAACACCAGACGAACTGAGCATCCCAGTCTCATGGCAGTTTGTGAAGTCATCACTACAGAATTATCTGATTGTTTGTGTTCAAAGACACAAATTATCTTGTTATGTTTCATTTGTATTGTGGGTGTGTTATTAATTATCAATATGTAAGAAATTATTTTTACAATGGAAAGTGTATACAATATTTTATTTAGAGAGAAAAACATGGAGGCCATCAATTTGGCAACAAAGAAAACACTTTCAAAAGATATGGCTACTGTTGTGCTTTAGCTCAGCCGCTGCTAATTTTCTAAAACTTACCAAGTAGCTTTTTAGGCATTGACCTAAACCCATGTGTTGGTAATGGATAAACCTGGACAAGTAACATACTTTAATAAGTAATGCATTCTTAAATGATAAAGATATTTGAAAATCTGTAACATGCATGAGTCGAACTTGGGTCAGTTTTACATTTTCACGTAAATATAGTTTCCCATCATTGCAACAGTTGTATGTGATGGATTTTCCCCTTTTCTCCTTCACAGCACCAGTGGACTTTGATATAGACCTTGAACTGCACATCCCAGCATCTAGTGTGCCCCAGAATTTCAGTGTTGTGCTCAGAAATATTCTGAGAAATTTCTCCTTCCCCAAAATCATCACTGGGTCTTTAACACTGAAAGACTTGAACTTCACCACATGTAAGGACCTGATCTTATTTGACTTTTGCACTCCAACACATTTAATGCTGTTCATATGGTGCTGTATGACTTGTGAATTGTGTTTTGTTCTTCTTTTAAATGTCTTGAAAAGGGTGCTATCCAAACTCCACTGGAGGACTCCAGTGTCAGTGTGAAGACCAGTTTGCTTGGTCATGTGGCAAGTGTGATGAGTACGGCGCATGCAGTAATGTTACCTCACAAACCTGTGATTGCATAAAGGGATTTCCTCCTGATGGAGAATTCTGTGAACCAGTCACAAGTAAGGACCTTGTCGTTTTTATAACAGGATGTATTTTTTTTATTCACTTTAAATTCATCAAGTTTGCGTCATGAGTGTTCTCCGTGTCACTAAAACAATATAAGGAATTCTTGAATGTTTCTCCACAGATATCATTCCCTGTCCACCAATGCCAAACACAACAACACCAGATCCTACTACTACAACACCAATGCTAAACACAACAACACCAGATCCTACAACTACAACACCAATGCCAAACACAACAACACCAGATCCTACAACTACAACACCAATGCCAAACACAACAACACCAGATCCTACTACTACAACACCAATGCTAAACACAACAACACCAGACCCTACTACAACAACACCAATGCTAAACACAACAACACTGATTCCAAACACAACTACACCAGATCCTACTACAACAAAACCATTACCAACAACTGCACCAACACCAATTCTAACCAATACAACAATTCTGATGCCAAATACAACCACACCAATGACAGACACAACAACAACACGGGTTTCGAGTACTACAAGAGTGCCAACTACTACAACCACAGCGATGTCAACTACAACAACAACAGCAAACACAACTACTACAATAACACCAACTACTGCTTCTGTTACAACAGATCAATTGACCATAAATGTGGAATTTAGTGACACATACAATAATCCAAACAGTGTTTTTTTCAGAAATGTTAGCACTGCTGTAAGTCTCAATTAGCCCCATCTTTGTGTCATTCAGTTTTCACATAATCTCAAACTACTCGATTCAGGTGGTTTAATTCATGTTTGGCAATGTCACTATCTCAAACAGATTCAAGCAGAAGCACAGAAGAACAAAATCACAGCACAATTAATTAAATTCCGGTAAGTCACATTATCTTTTTTAATATACCAATCCTAACAATTGTTTCTTTGTTTAGGTTTTTTTGTTTGTTTGTTTTTTTTACAGTTGTTACAGTCTTTGAAAAGTTTCTCCTCTGTGTCAACACTGCAAGTCAAAAGAAAAAATCATTATGTGGCTACCTTGAAGCTTCTTAACATAAATGCCCTACAAAAAAGGGATAAGTACAACCTAAAGTTCCACTACCCATGAATCACTTACACACACACCATACTGGCAAAAACATCTAGTATAACATCTGTATAATCATCGCCTTATACAGAGGCAGACTGAGACTCTAATACAGGCCAAGAACTTGACTTACAGTTTTTTACAGCCGCTAGGACACATTTCTCAATACTTAGGTCACTTTTGCAAAACTCTTCACACAATCCTCCTAACTGACCTTCAGCTTGGCAAAGCAGTTCATTTCACATTCAAAATGCACTACAACTACCAAAACACTTTATTCAGGTCTCAAATAAATTCATTCTTCCAGAACACTAGCAAAGGTTGACAGCCGACAAACACACTTTGTCACCCACAAAACAATGACCTAAAAAACACTAGCAACATGTAGCATTACACAGTGTTTTCTTGTGTAAAACAAGGACACATCTCTGTTTATAATTTCAATATATGTTACTGGAATGAATCAGACATCATGCAGAATTCGTTAATATTTGTTTATGTATTTTTATTTTTTGCACTAAGTAATCCCAAAATACAAGAATTTGTATACACACCATCCACTGATACACATACAATAGTAATGCTAATCTACTCGGTCTTCTCCATTTGGCCACAGGTTCTCATCCACATCACATCTTATGTCATCTAGGGCAATACACCTAGGAAAGAATCTTCTGGCATGCCAGAATTGAAGGAGTTGAAAAATTGAAGGAGTAACACCTGTGTAGATGTTCATCTACAATGAGAATCAGCTGTGGCTGGTTAAACTGCATTTTTAGATTAGTTTTTTCTGATTGCTTAAGCACATTTTTTGTAACTATTGGCTAATTTTGCAAAACTCTTCACACAAATAAGAAAACCTGTCACCCAATAATCAAAACATTGTAGTTCTCTTGCAAAAGCAAACACAGCTAGATTAACTCTTCACACCTTCGTAAAAATGGTGTTTCCGTATCAAACAGTACACACAAGCCATCATCTACTAAGCACACAATGCGCCAACTGCACACTGATGGTATGAATACAAAACACATCTGGCTTTTGCTTTCTCTGTGCACAAGGTAGGCTATGTCAGTTTGAGCTCATACTTCTGTCATAGATCCATAAGCATAGAGGGATCCAAACTTCAAGTACTGGTGTTTATTCAAACACATCAAAACAAACACAAGTGTTTATTTCCAAGTATAGGATTATTTGCAATCGCCATAATGACTATATGGGTTACTTGGTCTGCAGTGAACATGCTTCCTCTGCCCCAGCATCTGGTCATCTAGCAATTCTGTAAAGTAACAATTTCAGTATTTTTACATCAATGGTATTGGTGTGTTTCTCATTGGCATATGGCAGTGCTACAAATCTTTGTGCGAAGTGACTGTACTAACCGATTCTCATTTCAAGATGTCCTTATGGTACTTGCTACAGTGTAGCGGCTCGAGTTAGGCTGGACCCGTTGGCCAGCTACCCTCAGGGTCATTCCACGGTTGATTACATGGTCCACTATTGTAGCTCTGATGTCATCAGCAATTCTATTTCTTACTCTTCCTACCCTTCCTCTCCCCCCTCCTCATCTTCCTCTCCCCCCTCCTCGTCTTCCTCTTGCTCCTCCTTGTCCTTGTCGTCCTCTTCATCCTACTTCTTCACCTCCACGTCCTCTTCCTCGGCCTCCTCTACTTCTCACTCTTTCTGCTCCCTCCATTGTACTCCGCACACACAGCTTACCTGTATTATAGTGCTTAGGCTGATTGCAAAGTGAACTAATTATCTAAAAAAGTTTTCACATGTGAAAGTGTGCCAGACAGTTGGCAAATTAGTGTTAATGATAGCCATACATGTGTATACTTTTGCTAGGAGTGTGTTGGAAATTTGGTAATTGAGTGTTGTGCAGTGAATTGTGCCTACAGTTTTGCAAAGTGTGTGTTACAAAATTGCAAACTGAGTGCAAAGCAGTTTTTGTGCTTTTAGTTTTGCAAACTCAGTGAGTGGTTTTGCTATAAGTCTGAATAGTTTTAGAGATTGTGCTACAGGAATCACAGTTAGGGTTTAAGCATTCAGAAAAAACTGTAACCGATTCTCATTTCAAGATGTCCTTATGGTACTTGCTACAGTGTAGCGGCTCGAGTTAGGCTGGACCCGTTGGCCAGCTACCCTCAGGGTCATTCCACGGTTGATTACATGGTCCACTATTGTAGCTCTGATGTCATCAGCAATTCTATTTCTTACTCTTCCTACCCTTCCTCTCCCCCCTCCTCGTCTTCCTCTTGCTCCTCCTTGTCCTTGTCGTCCTCTTCATCCTACTTCTTCACCTCCACGTCCTCTTCCTCGGCCTCCTCTACTTCTCACTCTTTCTGCTCCCTCCATTGTACTCCGCACACACAGCTTACCTGTATTATAGTGCTTAGGCTGATTGCAAAGTGAACTAATTATCTAAAAAAGTTTTCACATGTGAAAGTGTGCCAGACAGTTGGCAAATTAGTGTTAATGATAGCCATACATGTGTATACTTTTGCTAGGAGTGTGTTGGAAATTTGGTAATTGAGTGTTGTGCAGTGAATTGTGCCTACAGTTTTGCAAAGTGTGTGTTACAAAATTGCAAACTGAGTGCAAAGCAGTTTTTGTGCTTTTAGTTTTGCAAACTCAGTGAGTGGTTTTGCTATAAGTCTGAATAGTTTTAGAGATTGTGCTACAGGAATCACAGTTAGGGTTTAAGCATTCAGAAAAAACTGTAAAGAATAATATAAGTTTCTACATGCTCCAGAAACCTTCAGATAAAACTCAGCACTTTTCCTCGACATTTTGCCGCAACATTTCAAAGAGCCGTAAAGTAAATAAACGGCAGACGTTTCATGCATACGCAGTACAGGAACGTAGCTTTTTCAGTGTGGATGAAAACAACTGAAAATGATAGTGTGGACGCGGAGTGTTTCTAGACATAAACACCGTTTTCAAATTTATCCAGATTAGTGTAGACGTAGCCTAAGCTGGTGGTGAGGAAATTCACGTAAATCCAGATGAGGCAACCCAGGAGCAATCTTAAAGGTAGGCACATTCAACTGCCACATCTATAAAATCTGTTTTCCTGAGTCATCTATGGACTTGGTGAATAGCAAGGTTAAACTTTAGTGCCCAGGAAAATAGGTCCCAGAGATCTGTTAATTTTAAGAGCTAGAACAACCTGTAAGAAGCATTATGAGATGTGATATTCATACCCTAGTTTTACTTTTGATGCTTCACAAAGAGTTAAAAGAAAAAAAAGGATTGTCCACAATATTAGACTTTAAATGGAGATTGGCATTTGCTTTGCCATGCCTAATCCTTCAGTGCTCCTCACTTTAAAAACAAAGCAGATGGAACATTTTGAGGAAGAGTTTGCTCTCTAAATGGTTCATCTGCTTGTGACAAAATCCGGAGAGCAGTTCTTTATTAAGAGAAACATCACTTTATACGCTTTCACAAACTTTACTCTCCCCTTTCCCTAGTCCTGTTGAAATCACTTTTGACCCAAATGACACCAGTTGCACCATGCTTAAATCCTTTTTTTACTGTTCATCGTGATCTTTGTACAAAAACACCTCCTATTCATGATACTATTGCACTTCATTCATTCAGAATCATTACAGAATGATTACTTCCACTTATTTTGTTACATTTATAATCCTGAATTTTAAGAAAATAACCATAGCGCAAACAAATTTTATATATTCCAGAACTCCATACTTTACCAATAATTATACGGCTAAAGATTAAGCACCTTATTTAGACCGACTCAGGCGGATGAGGCTTTGAGGATTTCAGTCTCTTCAACAGTCAGTCGTATACAGTTTTTCTGGCAACCACCAGAGCAAGATCGTATACAGAGAAGCGTTATTAATCACTCCAGTGCTCTTGAGTCTACTGGCAGCATGCTTTACACCACCACATCCTACACTTTGCATTGCAATTGATGATGTAAGGCTTGGCCATGGAAACCCATTCCATGAAGCTCTCTACACATTATTCTTGAGCTAACCTGGAGGCCACATGAAGATTAGACAGATTTGTCTAAGTCTAAGAATAATCACATAGAAATTAAAAAACCTGAAGTTGTGTGTTAATTGACGCTATTTGAACACATATATCTTTTCATTTTACATGTATATACTTGCCTGGATATTTCAACAAAAACATTCAACATTCACACTTTCACTCATTCACAGAAGTGCTCTGCCACACTACAAAGGCAATCAGGCAGCTAACTGGGGAAAGGGTAGTGTGCCGTGACTTATGAGATGAAATCTCTGAACACATTTTAATCACCACTATATCACTGTGATTGTGATCACTGTGATCTACATGTGTTTTGAAACTGGGTTTTTGGCGACCTGGTATATGTCAGTGTTTCTGTCTGTAGAGCACACAAAAAGGTTCAGACATTTTTCATTGTGCATGGTTGAGGTTTATTTTTTCCAAAGGAAAAAAGGTCTACATATTCAACTTGAACGATAAAAGCAAAGTATCGATCCAATTTCCTTTCCTTCCTTAAACAGCTCCATTTCCTTCCAATTCACCTCTGTGTCAATTTCAAGATCCTGCTTCTTACTTTCAAAGAGCTTCATAACCTCGCTCCTCCATATTTATCTGATCTTCTCCATATGTATGCCTGACTACAGACCTGTTGGGTCTAACACTTAAACGCCGCTGGCTCAGAGACCAATCATTTGTGTACGACCACAGTGCTTTTTGTCTTTTACTTGCTGCAAGGGGAGCCTGAGCTCTTCATCTGATCTCAGCCAACTCCAAACTCTGGGACCCCTCTCACAGTCCTTTTATTAACATCAGTATTTACACAAACATCTCATTAATCATGCGACAGATAAGACACCCACCTGTGAACATGTGACGTGTGTGTCTGTGATGTGTGAGCATGTGATGTCACCAATATCCTCAGTCACCCCATATATGGCGTAACATTTTAACGAACCAGTGTTTAGAAAACAGAGCTGAGCATACTTGCTAAAGATCTAATCACCTTGCTAAAGATCTAATCATCTTGCACAATGACAACCATATTGATGCACAATTCTCTAACAGGACTTTTAGTTGTTCTGCCCCAAGACTTTAGATGCACTTCCACCAGCTCTTCAAACTACAAACTCTCTCTGTACTTTTAAAACACGTCTCAAAACCCATCTATTCAGAACTCCATACCCTTTTATACTTGTTTATATACTTTCATGCTTGTTTTTTTTACCTTATGTTTACATTTTGTTTTGCTATACTTTATTATATTGTATTGTTGTACTATTGTAAGGTGACCTTTGGGGTCTTAAAGGCACCTATAAATAAAATTTATTATTATTATTATTATTATTATTATTATTATTATTATTAACAACAACAACAACAACAACAATAACAATAATAATAATAATAACTTGATTTTACCAAATGGTGAACTACTAACTCGTAAATTGAAGAAAAATGTGAGGTTTTTGGAGAATTCTTTTTTAAGTTAAGTATAGAGCAAAGCTATTTAGAGGATTGGATTCCAAGTGCTAGTAGACTGAAAATATAAAACTGTGACTCAACTATCATTGACTTATCTGTAGGTGTGAGAGTGAAAATGTACATTACATGCCAGAAATGTTAGCGTTTCCAATCCTTTTCCATATTATAGGAGTGGAAGCACCATCGCTGAATATAATGTCACTGCTGCTACTACAGTCATCCAAACACTAAACAATGGAATTTTTGACCAGCTAGCAAAAATCTACTCTATGATATCAGATGGTAAGAACTTGTCTACATTTGTAATTTTATTCAATTTTACATATATGTTTAATGTCATATCAAAAAACACATGAGATCAGATGATTGTTTAATCATTTTTTTATATTTATGTTCATTTTTAAAGAGCCACGTTTTCTGGATTTTAAAATTGAAGGTCGTGGATTTTGGGAGGATAAAGTCATTGTAACATGTGGCCATCCACCATTTGATCTCTTTGGTACTGACTGGAGACCAGAGTGGAGACGTGATGGCAATGTCATAGTTGCAGATGGAGTACACACCATTTCAACAAACAACAGTCACTCAGTCTTATCTGTGTCACAGTTCATTCGTGCTGACAGTGGTAAGAAGCAAACAACTGCATTCCATGGGGAAATTCACAAATCATATACATTTAAAATGCGAGTGCAGTCTCAGCATTTTTTAGTGATTCAGCAAGTGCAATTACAACATTCTGATTGGCTTAAGGGTAAAACTTGTTTGGTTCAGAAAAAAGCATCACATGTATCTTTTATCATAACTCTTTGACGTGGCCTATCGACACAATTTAAAATCTGGTATATAGTTTGAAGTCCGCACTTCTGACCCAAGTTGAAATGGAGTCGCTGGGTCGCTGCAACCCCAGAGGGTTAAGGAAAACGTTGTTACTGCAATGGAGCAATCAATATTAGTGCAGAAGGACTGAAATCACTTGATTTAAATAGTTAAACCATTGCTGTTGCACAAGCCTTTCTAGCCTTTCCAGTGTAAATGTGTACTTGTGTGAACACAGATGTCAACTAATTCGTATTGGAAATCCTATTTAAATTTGGAAATAAGTGGTTGCTGAGCTCTTAATAATATAACAGTAAAATAAAATGTTGCTAGACAGAGAATGGTATTCTTGAAACAAAATGGAGCAAAAACTCGTTATCAGCTACATTATTGCTTTTTTGTAGGATGTAAAATGAAACACTGAATCTGCATAGGAGAACCAGCCATATTACAACTGTATAATACAGAAATAAGTGACACTGTCATCCCATATATTATTATTTTTGTTTGGCAACACTATTTTATTTATGTATATAATAATTTACTTTCATTCCAGGAAATTATGAATGCAGGCTCATACGGAAAAAGGATGAATCATTTTATCGACAACGATCCAATGGAGCCTTCACACTCAAAGAGAAACCCTTGATCAGAGTGGACCCAATTCAAAAATTTTTGAATTGTAGTGGTGAAAATGTGCCACTAAGTTGCACTGTCAACAATGACTACAATATTAATTTCACAAATGCGAATATTAGCGGTAAATCTGAAACAAAGAATCAACAAAATGCAAATCAGCTATTGGGAAATAATTTCTCTGCTCATCTTGCAATACTTACGTTATTTACTAATATGAGACAAAACTTTTTAAAAACTAGTCTGATTAATATTACATCAAATCTGAATGTTTAGCTTGTATTGCTATTCATATTGACTTTGTTGTTTCTGTGGTTTATCCAAAGGTAAAAAAAGCATTTCCTATCAATATAAAACTGATAGCTGTACAGACAAAGAGCAGGATACAATTACCTGTCAATCAACTACCTATCCTGAATTCAAAGAAACAATAACACTCACATTTTACAAAAGAAGTGAGTATTAACACATTACAAAGCAATTTGTTAAATTCAGGTTAAAAATTATCTACATTTAATAAGGTCTTTTTTTTTTTGTTTTGTTTTATTAGATCTTCAAATGTGTGATGATAAAGAATTTGGAAAGGCAGTTAGTGGTTCCAGAGCCAGAATACCCTGTGCAAACAATGAGGAAGGAGAAAAGAGTGCATTGTGCAACATCAAAACATATACTGAAATACGAGACACCTGCATACTGCAACCCATTAAGGAGCTGCTTGACCAGTCTGAGGTGACTTATATAAACTGCCATGTTCTTTTTAGTTCTTTGTATTGTGGAAAATGTATCTTAGAGATAAATCACAATATTACATATTTTAAAGAGTTTAGAAAGTTCACCTAAGTGAAGCCACAAAAATATTACACAAACCTCTCTTTAAGTTACTCTTTTAATTAAAGTTAATTTGCTATGTGTTTTAATTGACAACTGTGACTATAAATTTCAAAACTAGATTATATCAAATGGTAAGATAGGCTCTTAAATGACTAGTTTTTTCTACTCTACGTTTCAATTTTGCTGATGATGGAAATGACCATGTAATGTAATGTAAAATATAAATGGTTCTCAACACAATCCTGTTGATTCTATTCTGGGCTATAATGGAAGATGAATCCACCTCTCAAATTATTACAGCTCCTTCAACCAGTTTCCAAATGGATGGTATCCTGTTAGACAGCAAAACGATCATGGTCTTAGGATTAAGTGGTGTTTTTATTTCTTGGTGAACATACTTGAGTTTTAGTTGACTTTAGTTTTCTAGTGTTAGTTTCAAGTTCCAGGGCTCTATGTACTACAAAGTAAGTTAAATATATACAGGGATTCTTTCCATTATTTGGATTCAATTGCCCTAACGTCAAACATCACAACTACTAAGCTAACTAAGTTTCAGCTGTAAAATTAGAGATATAATCCTCCTCTTTCAAGGAACATTTGAATTCTCTCTCTAGCCCAAAATGGTTAAAGCATTACAGTGATGTGAACTGCACATGTTAACTAGTATCTAGTAGAAGCTGATTTTTCTGTCTGTGTTCAGACAACAGTACCTTCTGAATGCGTTGTGCTAACATGATACTTAAAATATCACCATAAAGCTTGTCTTCTCTTCCTTCCGAAAGCATCAGAGCTGGGGCAGGTGCTGTGCCAATGGTGAAAAAAAAGAGTTAAATAAATGTTTAAATTTGCATAACGCAGTTTTAGTTATTATTTTTTCAGCTGGAACCTTGATGTTGTTTAGTAGTCTGAGAATAAGTAAAATACAAATACAAAATGTAGGAAATGTAATATTCCCTAATTTAAAGTAACCAATTTATATTGTCCACAAGTACAAATAGATGCCCCTAAATCGTACGTGCTTTGGAGTTTGTATGTTCTCTGGAGTTTGTACCTGCTTTCTCTCTAGGGCCCACCGTATATATTTATATATAAACATATATAAATAAAACCACGTTTTTTTTACATTAATAATTCCTTTTGTGCATAATTTTATATTGTTGTTAATAATAAATTAATTAAAGCAACAAAACAACCTGAAGAGCCGGTTGGGAGCCGAAAGAGCCGGCTCTTTTTAGTGAGCCGAGCCGAAAGAGCCGGTTCTCTAAAAGGAGCCGGAAATCCCATCACTACAGAAAACCCTGGTTCACCCCAAAGTTACCCGGATAAGACAAAGTTCTGCTTCATAGTACAAACCTCAGAAAGTAAAAAAAAAAAAAAAGATAAAAAAGGATAACTACTGCACAAAATAACCCGGCACAACAGAAATTAAAGTAAGCTGCAATGAGTCAATGCTTATCAAGCCCTTTAACTTTGTGCAATACATGTTTTACAGTTTTATACCATTTGTGATGACAGACAAACTGTTAATACAAAATAAACTTGTCACCCATTTAATAAAAATAAAACTTGTCAAATAAATAACCACAAAGTAAGCAGGTAATTTAAGTTTATAAAGTATGCACAAAAAACACTTTTTCAATAAATAACCACAAAGTAAGTAAGTAGTGTTTCTTTGTTTTGCCACTACAGCACTATTTACAATTTGTGATCAGAAGACATGGAAAGCACAAATGAAACACGGTATTCACTGTTCGGTTTATAACTGCAGGCAGATTAAGGTTAAAAGACTGTAGTAAACGTAAGCCAGATTCTGTGAGGATTTCTACAAACAAAAACCTTTGAGATAGGAATTAGTAAATAGGAAGCCCAAGTTTGTCATTCTAACTTCAACAGTTAAATTGTGAAACTAAATACTTTTTCTCTTCAACTCTTGCAGGTCTTGACTGCCACTACACTGCCAGCATTTTTGCAACAGCTCAGGAATGTTACTAATGGGAATTCTGCGCAAGTGGTTAACTCACCTAAAAATATTGATGCTGTTGTTCAAATTCTCAGAAATGTAGCTAACAGAACAGAATTATTCAATATCTTAATCAATGAAAACTCAATGAAGGTACATGCTAGTTTACTGAAGTTTGAGTATTCTAAATAATACATGCTTTTTTTAAATTTTGTATTTGTTTATTCAATCTAATACTTTTTTTTTTACTATAGGATATCCTGATAACTGCAGGTGTTCTCACCACAGATCAGGCAAGGAACTCATGGAACTTTCTGAACTTTCTGAACAAAAACAAAGAAAGTATCTCGTATAACATCTCTAACCCTGACAGTGTTAGTTCATCATTATTGCAGTCTCTTGAAATAATAACAAAACACCTTGCCAGTTTCAATAATTCTGGTATTGACACGCCTTCTATCATCTTGAACAGAACTATATACACAAACCCTATCATTGGTGATTTTAATTCTTCAGTGGTGATAGAAATACCACAGAATGAGGGTAGAAATAAGTCAATCACAGTGATAACATTTGCCTCGCTGAATAATGTACTCCCTGCAAGAGAAATAGACAATTCATCGATTAAGGTCATCGGTGGCAGGGTTGTACTTGTTCAGTCCAGTGGCCAAATCAATAATATCTCTTTGACATTTGATATTTTAAATGATACACTGAGAGATCCAAAATGTGTCTTCTGGAACTTCAATCTCCTTAATGGTCTCGGAGGATGGGACGATGAGGGCTGTGAAGTGGTAAATACAAATGAAACTGGAACTGTCACCTGCAACTGCAACCACCTGACCTCATTCTCTATCCTGATGTCACCAAACAGTCCAGTTAGCCTAATTTTGGACTATATAACCTACATCGGAGTTGGCATTTCCATGGGTTCCTTGGTCATATGTCTCATCATTGAAGGCCTCATATGGAGAAAAATAAGAACAAATGAAACCTCTTACCTGCGTCATGTTTCCATAGTTAACATTGCTGTGTCCCTCCTGATTGCAGATATTTGGTTTATAATTGGAGCAGCCATTTCAGATGCAAATCATAAAAACCACTCAGCATGCACTGCAACTACCTTTTTTATCCATTTGTTCTACCTAGCTCTGTTCTTCTGGATGTTTGCCTCAGCTTTGTTGCTGCTCTACCGTACAACTAATGTCTTTGGTGGGGGTTTGTCTAAAGCATCTATGCTGGTCATTGGATTTTCTCTAGGCTACGGAGCTCCTCTAATCATAGCAACAGTAACTATAGCTGCAACTGCACCAGACAACAAATATATCAGAGAAAATGTAATCTGCTGGCTCAACTGGGATGAGTCCAAAGCTCTACTGGCGTTTGTGATTCCTGCACTTTCAATAGTGCTGATAAATCTCATTATCCTGGTTGTGGTTTTGTACAAAATTATAAGGAGAAGGGTTGGAACAACTGCTGCACAAGCAGGTGAAAAGAGCGTTTTACTGGTTATTGTCAAGAGCTTGGCTGTGCTTACACCATTTTTTGGAATAACTTGGGGTTTGGGAGCTGGACTTCTGGTGCATCCAAGAGACATAGGAATCAATATTGCATTCGCACTATTCAATTCGCTACAGGTACAAATAAACTTTTTACCTCTTTATACCATAATAGCAGAATCTTTAATCACTGAATCCTTGATAACGGACATTACTCTGTCTTTTAAAAAAAGGGCTTCTTTATTTTGGTGTTTGGAACACTGCTGGATGGTAAGGTATGTACAGCTCAATTTTAAGTCAGGTTAATAAATAAGTGCTTATTGTTGAATTACTTTCAATTAATGTTAAATGATATAATTTGGTTTAACCAACAAAGTGCTTAATGTCTACAAACCTTTACTGACAAAGGAATATGAATTGTAATAATACTACACTAAAATCCTCTTGTCAAGTCAAACTTCTGCCTTTTAGTGCCATTTCATGGTTTCTCTGTAAAGCCATATAAATGACTAATTCAGACTTGATGGTGAAAGTAGCAAACAGCAGGTGGGCCCACACTTCAATAAATAACAGTTATATGTATGTGTTCATATCCCACACAAGCACACAAAAAAGCAAGATAAACATCACCATAGACTTACAAAGAGATTCCTTTTAGTGTTTGGCTGGGCATCATGAATTAATTTACTTTTACAGCTAACTTATGCAACTTCCATTGTAGTGTAACACTTGAGATTTCACTTATCAGGTGCGGTCAGCAATATCATCATATGTACGACCGTCCAGAAGTGGGACAGGGGTAAGAACAGTTTTCGTGTTCCTTTTTTCTTTCCTTATTTTTGGATCTCAGCCAACTTGTTTTTTGTTTTGTTTTGTTTTTTCAAATATTGCATGATTTGTTTTTTGTATTGTTTTTAGAGCACAAGTGCTGGAAACTCATCGTCAAGTGGATTTGGATTTTTAAGGAAATGGAGACGTGGAAGAGGTAAATAACAATTAAAAAATTACAATAAAGATGCAGGAAAAGCTGCGTGTTGTTAGGTGTGCTTGTACCTTAATCAGGCAGTCCAACACAGAAAACAATTGGATGGGTTGCACATTAACACAAATTTATTTTTTTAATTTTATTTATTCATACAATTATTTTACTTCTTACTACAACATCCTGTTGTAGTACTGTGTCTACTGTGTATTATTTTTTGCCACAGATTAACTATACTGCTCTGTTTTTTTTAGATGGCTACAACATGACATCCAGTGCATCCAGTGATTTACATTCAGCTAGCAACACATAATGAATGCAGAAATCTGTGGTTATTCAGATAACCAACAAGATGTCAGGCTTTTCTTTGTTCCTTTTTTCCATAGTATCAGTGAGTTAATCTGTTGTGTTTTTATTAATAGCTTATATAATATTTAATCCCAGAAGAATTTGGCTTGGTTTTTAAGGAAAAAAAATAAAGAAAAATATGTGTGATCACCAAAATATTTTTGAATGGCATAATAAATTTTGGAATTGTAATCAAACTTTTTAAAAAAATTATGTCATCGTTTTCATCTTTGATTTTGATTTGCATGCATGATTATCAACACAGCACAGAGCATAGATTTGTAGTTATACTAATAGATTTTTATCAATCTAGAGATGTTTTTAAAGAAAAGAGTGTTCTTATATTCTAAAGAGTGAGTAGATTTGATGTCTGATGTAAACATAAGTAAAACATTGTACTCGCAATATACACAGAAATACAAACTACCTTTGTTTAAAAAAACGTTTTTGTGTTGGGGACATCTACTGTCTCAAAATCTTGCCGTTTCATTCTGTGTCAGTATGTATCATGGCCCACAGTCCCACAAAGATCCACATGAAAACTGTTAATTGAGCTGTAACAATTTCATTCATTTGTAATTCAATAATTTCTGGTAATCTTTTATTTTGTGCATTTTGTGAAATAGCCATGTGTTGTAAAGATGAAACAGATGTCAGGGAACTGTTGCACATTAGGTAGATCTTAATGCTGAAATTTCTCATACTCATGTTAATTTTACCCATATTTATTTTTTTCTTTGGAGAACAGATAACTGTTATTCTAATTAGCACCTTCGTAATCTTTACTGGCTACTCAAAGATTAACTAAGTATGCTTTCTGTGCGCCTTTTGTGCATTTAATGTGGTATGTTTTTGGATAGCTTTGACATGCCTTAATTTTGATCCTGATTAATAATGTATACAACTAGCTTTCTATTACTTTCTATTACTAATTATGTCCTGAATTTGTTAAACTTTTATTCAGAATTTGGTGATTTAAATCTTTTAAAAATACCAATCTTGTGTCAAACTCCAGCTTCACACACCCTGTTAATCTGGCAGATTTGTTTGAAGTATCCTAAAATCCAAATTCCTAAAACCAATAAATAAATAAATAAAATAAAATAATAAAAACCTGAATTGGAATGACACACAGACGAAGTTCCTAATAGTGGTGTGCGGATCGATATTGAAACATCGATTCTTCCGATACCAGTAATTTATGTTCTAGAATCGATTCTCATATTAAAATATCGATATTTTAGTACTTTGGGGTAAATTTGTAGTGTTTCATTAACAGGAACAGTGGAAATAAACTATATCATTCGGATCGTCTAAATTGGAAGGAACTACTTCCTCTTACGCCTTAGTCATACGTGAAATACGGCTGGATAAACGTGTCACAGCCTCTGGCGTGCGCACTCACAGCAATGGCTGAGCATAAACGGAGTCATGTGTGGATGTATTTTACCTCCACAAACAGCTAAGACGCGGTTTGCGATACATGTGGCAAGACAGTGAGGTGTTGTGACAGCACCATTAACCTCGTCAAACACCTGAGAGTAAATCATAGAATATGATGAGCTTATGTTGAGGCGAACTGAAGAGGAGTAGAGGGACAGACTCAAGCGCAGACCACAAACTCCTTTCGAACAAGAGTGAATTTATTTACAGTGATCTGCCACAGTGCAATATATATACAAAGGTGTTTGGGGGAAAGGGCCAGGGTTCCAGGGTCCAGGAGTGAAAGGGGCCGGAGTCCAGGGGAGGGGGTTTCCACACACAAACAGCTCCTCTTTTCTCCACCACTCTTCTTGCTCAGTCACAGTTGCACAGGGAACGGGTCCGGTGCCGATCTGCGATGCGTTTGTTCTTCTCTTTTGTGCGTAGTAGGGCCGCTTGAGTGGCCCACCAAACTCGACAACACCTGTGTAAATTCATTTCTTTTGAATTAATCCCTTCTTCTGAAATATAAGAACCTCTCCTGGTTTAAATGGCACTTTGGATTTCCTTACTTTCTGTTCCGCTCCCAACCCCAAATAGATGCTGACAAGCTGACACAGTAACATGGAAGAGGGAAAGAAGTTGGAAGGGGAAAAAATAAACCTAATGCCTAACAATGAAAAATGTAAAATAAGATCAATAATAATAATAATGATAATAACGGTAAAAGATGAAGCAACACGTTTTTAGTTTCTTGTTTATTCCAAATGATTAAACATGTCACATTTAAATCATTCCAAATGATTTAAATGTGACATGTGATGACAAACACCATAATGTTTGTCATCACATGCTTAAACTCATCATATATTTTTGCATATGCTGAACAGGCAGTCAGACATGCTGTAACTGTGGGGTAGAAAACTGCATGAACACCATACGGCAGGGGTCTCAAACTCCAGTCCTCGAGGGCCACTGTCCTGCAACTTTTCCATATGTCCCTGTCGCACAACCAGTTCTCACTCCCGACGCGTAACACACCTGGTAGGTCATTAGCAAGACTATAGAACTTGACTGCATGCTGAGTTGGAAATTCAGCCATTTGATTCATGTTACAGCAGCTCATGAGTGAATGAACATGGTGCAATAAAAGTATTTTTAGAAGTATATGTTTCCAAATACATGCATTTACTTACTCGATGTTACAATATTTCTGAGAGCTCGTTTTTAAGCCTCCCAGTTATCAGTTTTATGATCACAGTATTGCTTTAACATCATTGAGACTACACAACACATTCATCCCTGACCTCCTCATATCCAGCTGAACAGGATTACTATACTGTGTAGATTTACACATTCTTTCGTGGAACATCGAAATCCATTGTGTTGTGTAGATTTTTAACATATCTCCTGGATCATTACTAACTGTATGTTTGGTTTTACTTGTAGAGTTGTTGTAAGGCCAGACAAGGAGCTCGAACAATTTTATGGTTACCAAAACAAAACAAGCCAAAAAAAAAAAAAAAAAAAATAATAATAAAAAAATTTAAAAAAAAAAAAACTGTGTGGAAACGGTAAGAGTGTGCAGATCATCCAGCAGAGGGCACCATTATATCAAAAAAACTTCAAATTGGCTTAAAGATTTATTTACCCTCTCAGGCTCAAATTAAGTTTTTGTTGCTAATGCTACAAAAGAATACCTCAGTGGTACTTCTGAGGAAAAAAAATAAAACATATGTATGTGGGGTAATCAGGTTGTTAGCTTTTACTTGTATGCAAAAAATCTGCAAATGCTGCCTTAAGGCTTTATTAAATCGAAGCAATCGTATTAAAGTATAATTACTACTTTTGGTGGTGGCTGTAAATGCTGCACTTGAAGCACAGTCCTTACCAGTTAGAGCATTTTAAAGATGTCGAGGTGAAATATTGAGGACAATTTTTTCAAACTTGCTAAATGTGTCATTTATAGAAGAGAAATAACAGCTTTTGAAAAATTGAACGTTGATCTGAATTCTGAGAAAGCTGCAAAAAGTTAGCTGGAAAATGAACAGTGCAACAGATTTCACAGAATCTGGTGAAAAAAAACAAACTAAATTCATTGTGGTTGGAATCTGTTTTAATCAAGATTTTCATGGATTCGTGCACATTCTCCACTTCCTGGTATCAAACAACAAACATTTTACAGTTGTTACACCCCAGCCCAGGGAAAACTGGCGTGCAACATAAGAAAATAAAAATAAGGAGAAATGCCCCCACACTCCCTGCTCTCAAGGAAGACGAACCAACAAAAAACAGCTACCACGGATTTCACAACAGCCAGTCAATTTATCAAGTCCCAAAAGGTAGCAGGCGTCAGGGTGAGCATGGCCAAAACAACAAACAAAAACTCTAGAAATGAAATGCAGCTGGCTTACCTTCACAGAAAACCCCAAACGAAAATTACAGGTGTCTTACCTGCCTCCCTAACCAAAAACAGGAGAAAAGGTTCCCAAAGAAAAATGGCTTCTCACCCCTACAGCTACCGAGTAAAAACAGTATCGACAACTATTTACATCTATATACAACAAACATAGTGATGGCCCGCTTGAAGCTGACGCTCCGGAGCGTGTGTCGAAAAAAACAACACACTGGTTCAGAAGCACTGTGTCGAGGCTTGCTTCGTTTGGCAAAAGTCACGTGACCAGTGACGTCCGAAGCTTCATTACGCACGTAACTGCTTCGGTACCTGATTCAAACGGATATAAGGAAGTGAATCATCCACGGGATTCGTGGAGTGTGTTGATGGTGACAGATAGCGACGAGGTGATCATTCCACTGACAGATATGGAGCCAGCGAGGAAGAGAGGACGTTCTGGCGTGTGGGAATATTTTGAGTTGATTTTGCTCAATTCATTTTATCTGCCGAAGTGAAAAACTTGAAATGTCCAAAATCATGTTTTCATAATGTAAATATCATTACAGCATATGACTTTAGGAACACTTCCATGTGAATTAAAGCTAATGAAGACTACAAAAATGTATTTGACACTATACGTACATTACATTGCTACACAGTTTAGAAAATCATTTTGTTTATTGTTTTTAGGTGATAGTCTGCAGGACCCAGGAATACCTGCATATCTACCAGCTTGCAGTGTAGTTCCTGCACTCCACAGCCTCTTCTGTTCCATGCAAGTGGATTTTCTCCAGGGCAGGAGAAACTATTTCTAAGAAAAGAAACAGACTCAGCCAGCGCACAGTAACACTAATCCTCTTTTTAAATGTAAATAACAAAAGGGCTACCTGACATAGATCATGTTTTTACTTTGCAAGTTCTTGATTAGGGGTGGGTTTTGATTATCGCCTTTCTGATTACAATCCATGCTAAATTGAATAAAGTGATATTGATTCATTACAATCCTGTGTCGATTTGTAAATTAACGTTATTATGCCTGAAACGCCAGCATCTCAGGTTAAACCTCACAACATGTCGTCAAACACCATACAGCTAAAACAGTAACTGGGAGCAGGTTTACGGATTCTGCATACAAACGTAAACACAGAGCGCGGACCCGACGCGTCAGAGTCAGATTTTGAGTTCGGGTCCGCGCTGTGTTTGCCTTTTTTTTTTCGCTGGCTTCTGCAGCTGCAGGTTTCATAACTCTCTGTTTACATCTCTAATTAAGTCTCACATGTGTCAGCTTTCTTTTAATAGATA